TGTGTGTGTGTGTATATGTGTGTGTGTATATGTGTGTGTGTGTGTGTGTATATGTGTATATGTGTGTGTGTATATGTGTGTGTGTGTGTGTGTGTATATATATATATAATGTGTGTTTGTGTGTGTATATATGTGTGTGTGTGTGTGTATATGTGTGTGTGTATATGTGTGTGTGTGTGTGTATGTGTGTGTGTGTATACGTATATATATATATATATATACATGTGTATATATATATATAATGTGTGTTTGTGTGTGTATATATGTGTGTGTGTGTGTGTATATGTGTGTGTGTATATGTGTGTGTGTGTGTGTATGTGTGTGTGTGTATACGTATATATATATATATATATACATGTGTATATATATATATAATGTGTGTTTGTGTGTGTATATATGTGTGTGTGTGTGTGTATATGTGTGTGTGTATATGTGTGTGTGTGTGTGTATGTGTGTGTGTGTATACGTATATATATATATATATATACATGTGTATATATATATATAATGTGTGTTTGTGTGTGTATATATGTGTGTGTGTGTGTGTATATGTGTGTGTGTATATGTGTGTGTGTGTGTGTATGTGTGTGTGTGTGTGTGTGTGTATATATAGTGTGTGTGTGTGTATATGTATATATGTGTGTGTGTGTGTGTGTGTATATATATGTATGTATGTATGTATATGTACGTGTGTCTGTATATACAGACATGTGTGTATGTATAATACGTGTGTGTGTGTGTGTGTGTATTTATTTATCTCGAAAAGAGAAGAGTCTTTTTGTAGAAGCTTTATTTGTGGTTATGTTCTGCTCCCTCAAATAAAAGTCAATGTTGCTTTACATCTAAATTGTATATTAGCTGTTACTGTAACTTAATGATCAATAGCACACTATCTTGAGTTCCTGAGATCTCCAGTATCTTCATTGTACTTAACTACAAATGTGCTTTGCTTCAACATTTGGCAATCAGCACATTCCTTTTCCACTTACCTTTACTTTAGTAAATAGATTTCTGCAAATGATGTGAATGTTAATAAAATGTTCCCATTCTTACTAAAAATATGGATACGTTACTGGTTGTGTTGAGCTGTGTATTATTGGATAGTATTTTGTTTTTTATTTCAATTAAAAGCCTCTCTCTGATAAATATATTTTTAACTTATGAGAACTTCTGGAATATTTTACAAAAAATTGGAACACCTAAATTAGTGCATTAAGATCTCTCTCTCAATCTGAAAACCAATATCAATTTCTTCCAATTTTTACTCTGTTCTGCATACACAATTTTCTATTACAACTAATTAGTTCTAGTACCTTTTCAAAAAAAAAAAAAAAAAAATCTCACCTTCCTGCACAGAGATTCACATATAGCCGGCAAATGAATCTGAGAAGGAAAAGCAAATCAAATTATGCATTTGATGATCTAGCTTATGGCGCTCTAAAAATTAAATATAGGAAAATAATAACTTACTTAATTACCCACTCTTTGATATGTTTCAAAACCTACGTTTTTAAGGTTAAGGGTGTTTCAGATGTTTCTAAATTCCCCATGAACTTTCTCTTCACATAGTTTCTGAATAAATGGTTTTGGGTGCAAGATCATCAACGTTTATGTCAGGTTTAACAAATTGCTTTACAGTGTTGCCAGAGAGGTGCCAGATTAATTTCAGAGAGCAATCAATCAGTAATTTTAGTCACTCCTGTCTTTATCTGGGGTTACCACGACAGCAAGGTCAGCAATTAGGGGCACTATTAGATTGTTATGTCTGGGCTGTTTGCTTCTCACACTAGATGGTGGCTGAAGTCCGTGTACAAGGAGTAAGCTGAACATAAGCCACTTCGAGGGCACTTCAACTAGGTATATACCAGATGTACTGTGTGAAAGAATCCCCTTCCAGCCTTTTCTCTTAGGTTTTTTCCCCCTCCTTTCTCTTTCTTTGTCTTTTCACATGTTTGTCAACCTGGTTGACTTGGCAACCAGGTTGCTGCATACATGACCACACAACATCGGGGCTAGGCTCAAGCCCATGTCACACCAGCAGGTAACTGTGATGTTTTTCAAATTGATTGGCTGGCATCAAATAGCACCTGTCCCTGACTGGCTGCAGCTGGTGGGGTCATGAGGGCTATTTAAGAGGGGCTCTCCAGGAAGGAGGGGGGACATTTTAAAATTGCATAGGAGTGTGGTTTCTGCAGTGCTCTCTCTTGTACTCAGGATGCAAAAGTGAGTAACTTACCAAAAACCTAACTAGAAGCTCAGTTTAATGTACTCTAGTCATGTTTCAAAAGGCTGACAAGCCACTTACAGGTTGGTTGTCTTTCTATATTTTGTTACTGGTATTCCTTCCCCACCCTATCCCTCTGGGATCAATAAATCTATCTGTTTTAGAACCTGAAACCATGTGTTACTGACAGCAAATTAGGCTGTAACTATCTGGGTTCTTAAAAGCAATGCAAAAACTAGTAACTTTTTGAATGGAAGACATTCAGGGGCATGCCAAGTTATTACAGGAAAGTATGCTGGCACAATGGGTGGTATTTTTTCCTCCATGTCCCTACTATCAAATGCCTTGGCGTGGAGCTATGAGACTCCTTGGTGCTGGGACTGAGGTTTTCAGAAGAGACATGAAAGTGTCTTGAGTCTCTCTCTTAATTACATATGTTCTTTATAAATGTTTAGGATGATAACTGCGTTAACCCTGCCAAATTCCAGCTTCGTTATAATTATATTTTACCTATTTAACTCATACCACTGTGTTGTCAGTTGGATAAAATATTGTTCTTTTTCTTTCCTATATTAACAGCTACATTTGAATAGTAGGCTGTGAAAGTGACAGCCATGTATAACTTGAGAGTGCATTGGGATTCTATGGGATGGAAGGTATTATGTACAGTTTTGTTGTATTCTTGTTTCAGGAAATTCAGAGGGAATCATTAAATGTGAGCTATTAATTCTAATGTAATTATTTAAAAAATTGGTCAGTTCAACAGGACATTGCATGAACCTCCACAAGACCCTTGCTTTATAGATTTCATAGACATTAGGGGCTGGAAGGGACCTCATGAGATCATTGGGTCCAGCCCCGCCACCATAGGCAGGGAGGCAGCCGCACCATAGGCAGGAAGTCAGCTGGGATCAAGTGACCCCCAGCAAGAAATAAATCCAGCTGGTTTTTTTTGAAGGAGTCCAGAGTAGGTGCTTGCACCACCTCTGGGGGAAGTTTTTTGTTCCGGATCCTGGATGCACACACCATAAAGAACTGTTTTCTTATATCCAGTCTAAGAAATGTCCTAAATTTTATTCTTCTCTGCTCAGGGGTGATGCATAGGGGGTGCACACAGATGCACATGCACCCCCTACATAAAGGCACTGCCAATACTGTTGGCGATGCCTGTGGGCAGTTGCCACTCACCACCCTGCCGCCAACACAGTTGATGGTGTCTGTGGACAGTCAGTGAACTCTGCTGGCTGCTGGTGCCTGCAGGTGGTCACCGACCCCTGGGTGGTGCTTCCCCCCCCGCCAGCATCTGTGGGAGCTCCCCACTCATTGCCACGGGGCTCCCACTGCTGCTGCCATGCTTCTGCCAC